GATCTAAAAAATAGATCCCCTCATTAGGGACCCTAACTACTAGAGGGTACTTTATAGGAACCCCCCTTATAGGGGATCCTTTTGGGGGTCTGGGTATGATCAGGCTTGGGACTCAGCAGTACCAGCTCTACTATTGTTTTTTTGAGGTTTAGGACTTACGCCTATGACGGCCACCTCCTGCCTGCTGAACTTGCTAGAAAAACTCAAAACCTTTAGCTTCCCGCCTCAAAACCCTGAAACAATAACACCCTAAAGCCATAAAGCTAAAAGCCGTAAACCCCAAAACCCTCAAGCCCCCCCATCACCCCCGGCCTGGGGTTGTGATGGGCGCCGGAAGCGTGCAGAACGCCTTGAGGACATCCTCACACTGCACAGGGTTGAAACTTTTCAAAAAACTCAAAGTAGCGTCATATAGGGGCCTTGATAATTGGGTCCCTATAAAAGGTGTTCCTTCTTAAATAAAGCTATAAGTGCGGGTTTACTATAAGAGTTAAATCAATGGCGGGCATCATATCGGAGGCTTAATTACTGCTTGGCATTTTGGTGTATATGATAGACTTCAGATATAGGAACTACAAGGGACGACGACGACTACTGCTGCTGCTGCTGCTACTACTACTACTACTACTACTACTACTACTACTACTACTACTACTACTACTAACTACTACTACTGCTAGACTACTGCCGACCTTTTCTGTACTCAAAACACCAACTAGAACATGCTTACTAGATTCTTGATATGGGGCTTGGAAGTTGGGAGGAGAAGGGTAGCATCTTTGAGGTTGCGATGTGTTAAGATGCTGCGACTTGGTGCGGGGAGGGGCTTAGGGTTTAGGGGTTTAGGGGTTTAGGGGTTTGGGGTTTAGGAGTGTAGGGGTTTAGGGTTTAGGGTTTACTTGGAGGCTTTTTGCGGTCACGGGCTCAGAAAGAAAGGCTTGCAAAGGTGTGGCCTGAGACTCCGGACACAGGAGTGGTGGTTCAGGGTTTGGGGTTTAGGGTTTAGGGTTTAGGGTTTAGGGGTTTAGATGCGAGGGTAAAATCGACAATGACAACAGCCATACGTCAGCAACCACAACCCTAAATCCAAAACCCTAAACCCTGAACCCAAATCTTTATTCTGGTCTGAGGAGTTCCAGGCAGGCGCGGGAACTGCCTCCATGGCAAACCCCGCCACTTAACTCCGAAGCCCCTTAGAATACCAAGAACCTCCCGTACCCTAAACCCTAAACCCTAAACCCTAAACCCTAAACCCTAAACCAATGAACCAGCCCCGGCTCTGGGCCCGCACTGCAGAAGCGTTCAGGGGACTCAGCAAGTAGAAGTAATGTAGGGGCCTTAAAAATTAGAATAGGGTTTGTGGCCCATTATACTACAATTATACCAAGGAGCCCCCCAAAAGAGATGTTTAGGCCCCTATATTAGGGCTGCAAAAATATAGCCTTCCTTCACCAGAACCCTACTTTCTAGGTCCCCTGATCCCCTGATCCTGAAATACCACCCCCAAAACCCCCAAAAGAATTCCCTAAACCCTAAACCCTAAACCCTAAACCCTAAACCCTTTCGAAGCCTTCAAGGATCCCTTAAAGGAACCTTCGAAACCCTACTTACTAAGTCAACTGATCCTATAAGCAACCCTAGACCTCCCTTATAGAACCCCTTCAGATCCCTTAAAAGGGTCTAGGGTTTAGGGTTTAAAGGATCCCTTGAAGGACCCAAACACTGAAACCTAAACCCTAAAACCTAAACCCTGACCCTAAACCCTAAAACCTAAATCCTAAACCCACAAGCCCTAAACCCTAAACTCTAAACCCTTAACACTAAAACCTAAACCCTAAACCCTAAACGCTAAATCCTAAACCCTAAACCCTAAAACCTAAACCCTAAGACCTAAACCCTAAGCCTTTAAGTCAGGGCTCCTCCGATCTGCGCAGAGGCTCGGAGAGGTCCCAGAAACTCCACACCTTTGCCTTGCCAGAGATCTGCAGAACTAAGGGCGCTATGAGGGTTTAGGGCTTAGGGTTTAGGGTTTAGGGTTTAGGGTTTAGGGTTTAGGGTTTAGGGCTTAGGGTTTAGGGCTTAGGGTTTATAGTAGAACTAAGGGCGCTACGAGGATTTTTTTTAAATGCAATGGGCCTTTGACTCTCGCACCCAGCCTGACACTCAGGCCTGCTATGAGGATTTAGGGCTTAGGGTTTAGGGCTTAGGGTTTAGTTCTAGTAGAACAAAGGGCGCTATGAGGGTTAGGGTTCACCTTAACCCCAAATAACCTACCTGTTGAAGGACTTATATAAAGGCGCCCTAAAAAGGTAGGTTCTTTAGGGTCCAGGTAGGGCTTCGGGTTTAGTTCTAGAAGAAGGTTTAGAGGATCAGGAGACTTAGTAAGCAGAGTTCTTATAGGGGTCTATAAGGGTTAGGGCTTAGGGTTTAGGGATTAGGGTTTAGGGCTTAGGGTTTAGTTCTAGTAGAAGGGTTTAGGCGTTTGGGTACCTGCTATAAGGGTTACTACTTGAGAATCAGGGGACTTAGTAGGCAGGGTCCTCATGGGGTTCTGTAAGGGTTCTAGAAGGGTTTAGGACTTTGGGCTACCTACCATAACAGGGGGTAACTCTTGATGTAGGCCTCATTTGGGCTACCCCACCCTAAAACCTAAACCCTAAAACCCTAAACCCTCGCTTAGAACCTTACTTACTAGTTACAGGGGTTCAGGGTTTCAGGATTTAGGGCTTAGGCTTAGGCATTGCAGGTTTCGGGGCTTAGGGCCTGGGCTTAGGGTTAGCGCTTAGGGTTCTGGGTTGAGGGGGTTCCTCAAATTATTTTGGGGCTTAGGGTTTAGGGTTTGGAACCTCAAACCCCAAACCCTAAATCAACCGAGATAAACCCGAAGCCCTAAACCCTCGCTGTCCTCAAAAACAAAAGGGGTCAGGAGTCCTAAACCCTAAATCCTAAAACCCTAAACCCTAAACCCTGAACCCTCAACCCTAAACCCTAAACACCCTAAACACTAAAACCCTAAAATCCCTAAACCCCTCCTTGTCATCGGAGCAGGCCAGAATGGTGTTGGACACCTGGGTTGAGATTTGGGGCCTGGGGTTCGCAGACCTAGGGCAGAGTAGGGCTTTAGGTTTAGGAACTTGAGGCTTGGAGTTTCGGGCGTCGGTGTTTTAGGGGGCTTTGGGCCACTCACCCCCAAAAATCCCAAACCCTCCAGAGAGAGACAGAAAGAGAGAGAGTTCTAAAGGGTTCAGACCGCTTGCTCAGGAGATGCAATGTGAAGGCTTGCTACGACGGTTTAGGGCTTAGGGAGAAGGTGTTAGAGTCTAGTAGCCTAAACCCTAAACCGGATTCGTGATGGCACGCTTGATCTCCTTGTGGGTAGAGTTTGAGCTTGCTCTTGGAGGCTCGCCAAAAAACCGATCTTCCTCCGTTCTCCAAAATAGGCTTTAGAGTCTGGTGTTTACAATTTATAAGACCTATCTCACCCTAAAGCATAAATCCTGAACGACAGGGGTGTAGTTACTGCGGGGAGGAAGATCCTGAGAGGGTCACACCACTCATTCAAGAAGGGCTGCATGCTACACAGTAAGGGGTCCCTGTCGAAGCTCCGAACCCTATACCCTAAACCCTAGACCCTAGACCCGAAACCCCAGACCCTTGTGGTTGAGAGTACCTCGGCCTTCGCTGCTTTTTGGAGCCCATCAGAATGCAGAAGTCGGTTTAGGGCTTAGGGGTCTGAGTGCATCTGTCATCAGGATTTTATGAATGCTTAAAGCTCTCTAGAGTGGCGTACGGGCTTCATGATGGCTTTCGAAGATTAGCACAGTGGGTAGTCCGTCTAAGCCCAGATGCTGCAACGATGCTGTTGGAATGCCGGCCGTCCACGTCCACTCCAAGTACAGCCGTCGTCCAATCACCATAAGTGGTGGAATTCGTCAGGAACACAAGGCTGGCATTCAAACTACGTTCCTGGGATTTCTGGGTTCTGAAGTCAACTGGGTGGGAAAAGCTTAACATCAATTTCCATAGTGGTTTCTAGTCTATAGAACCAAGGCGCATAGAAAAGCAGAAAAGTAAAGTACATTGTAGAGTTTAGGGTTTAGGGTTTAGGGTACTCCATAGCCCAGTTTCCGTCACAAGGAGGGCAACAAAACCACCAGCGATCCCTATAAGGTTGCTGACTTCCGTCGACTTCTGCGGTGCCGGTGCTACCAGGGTCGTCTGCCACAGAGAAGCAGCACCCCTCGTCGCAGCCGAGTAGTTGAAAAAGTAATACGTATCATCGAGCACACAAAGCCCACTCCTTAAATTCCCCAAGAAGCCAGGGAAATAAAAGGTTAAAGCTTCAGATTACTACTAAACTATAAGAACCCCAACAAAATTAAAGGTTGGTTATTTGGGGAACTCAAAACCCAAAACCCTAAACCCTAAACCCTAAACCCTAAACCCCTAAACCCAAAACCCTAAACCTTAAACTGCTAAGACTCCTTCCCCAGGGGAACATGCCCAACAGGGATATACTACCATCTCGCACCTGCAGGGGCGTTCCCAGCCAGGAAAGATTGCCTGCGACTTCGTGCTTGGAGGGATTTAGGGTTTAGGGGTTTAGGGGTTTAGGGTCTAGGGTCTAGACTTTGAAGTAACCAGGGAGAAAAAGGGTATAGACTTTAATTTCATAATGGTTCCCTTACTTTCATAAAGGTTCCCTTAAGGAACAGGTCCCAAAAAAACAGTAGTCAGGTATGGTACTCCAGAACCCAGTTGCCATCGGTGAAACGCGTGAGGCGGATGGAATACTCAAAGGCCACGGCCAGCACATTCTCTGGTAAAACCAGCACAGCTGCCGCCGTTTCTGACGGCGGAAACACTTGGGAGGCCATCCGGCCCACCGTGCCTTGCACAATCGGAAAGCGATGCAGGGCAGCGTCTGAGAAAACGAGCAGGAATTCCTGGGTTGCTTTTACGGAACTTAACTTAAGTTACCATAATGGGGATATATAGTCAATAACAGGGTTACCTTGTTATAATAGCTTAATTTCAGTTCCATAACAGCAGCCCAGATTCTGTTCCCTGGTGCACCACTGTCTCCACCAGCATTTCTTGGCCCAGCCCTTCCTCGCAAGGATCGGACGGTAGCGCCACTCGGGCACGATCAGATGCATTTGCAGACACGGAGGTCCCACTCGACAGGGTCGATGCTGGAAACACTTCAACTTCAAGAGAGCATGCACCTTAAGGGACAACAGGAGGGACCCCTAGAAGGGACCCCCTAATCCTCATACCCTATATACTGACTGGCCCAAAACCCAAGGAGATAAAAGTTAAAACTTTCAGAACCGACTACCTTATAAGAACCCCAAAAGTTGAAAAGTTGAGTTTACAGCCAATAAGTATAACCCTTACATACCCCGAATATAGCCTTGAGCACCTCTCCTCCGAGATCGGGAGACGATGGCCAAACCGCCAGCATGCAGCGCTGCTGGCCGCTCCAAGAGATTGGCTTGATCCGAGGGGCCTAGGTTCCTGTTATTTAGGGTTTCGGGTTGAGGGTTTAAGGTTTAGGGTTTAGGGTTTAGGGTTTTCCTGTTATTCCTAAACCCTAAACCCTAAACCCTAAACCCACTAAACACGGGAAAAAGGGTACCACTCAGGAACCTCGGGGCTGAAATGCTGCAGCGCTTGTATCCAAAGGTCGGTGCCGAGGTGGGAGACAGACATGTGCAGGACAAAGAAGCCTTGGCCCTTTTAGAGTTTAGGGTTTAGGGGTTTAGGGTTTAGGGTTTAGGGGTTTAGGGCTTAAGGAAAAAAACCTTAACTTGGCTGACTTCTGCACCTCTCCTAAAAGCGACACTTTTGGCCTACTTATGGGTTTAGGGTTTAGGGTTTAGAAACCCTAAAATAAGTTAAAGTCCTAAGAACCAACCAGAAGAAAGCCAAGAAGCGGCACGAGGACAAAGTCGCGTTGCAGCTTTTCAATGCAAGGCCTTCCGAGCGCAGCGCCACCGACTCGGTCAAGTTTCCCGACCACTGCGAAACCTGGGTTGCTGTTAAGGAACTTGAGATAAGTTACTATAACAAGCAAACCCTATCATTTACTATATATCACCGGTATAGTAACTTAAAATACGATACTATAACAAGGAAACCCTATCATCTACTGTATATCCCATTAACTTAAATTAAGCCCCTTAAAGCAACCTAGGAACGGGACGCTCACCCCGAAGCATTGCTTCAGCGTTCCAAACGATGACCTTCGTCGGAGAGACCAGGGCGAGGCCGTTGCCTTGGTTAAAGGAAACCTAAACCCTAAACCCTAAACCCGGGAGTTTAGGGTATGTAGGGTTTAGGGTTTAGAGTTTACCTAGGTTGCTCTGAACGTTAATGTAGGGGCCTTAATCGTTAGAATAGGGTTTTGTGGCCCGCTATACTATAATTATACGGAGGAACCCCCAAAAATAGTATAGGCTTAGGCCCCTATATTAGGGTTTTTTGTTAGAGGGGGGGGGAGGGGGGTCAGGGTTTAGGGTTTGGGGTTGAGGATTTCGGGCTTAGGGTTTAGAGGGTTTAGGGTTTAGGGTTTAGCGGGTTCAGGGTTTAGACGGTTTAGGCTTTAAGACTTTAGGTTCAGGGCTCTGAATGGGCCTCCCGAAACAAAATGCGTGTGAAGAAGTACCTCTAGCAGGCCAGAAGAGGATCTAGAAACGAAGCCGAAATACCCTTAAAGCCCAAAGCCCAAACGCTGAATGTTATGGCAGATTGCCACCGAGTTGCTCAACTCCCATATCTTGAGGTTGTAGATCCTTACTTCGCCAATAAGCCAGGGAAATAAAAGGTTAAACTTTCAGATTATTACTAAGTATTACTAAGTTATAAGAACCAACCCTAAACCCTAAAC